CTGATCAGATCATCCACGCTCCTGCTCCATCTAATGAAAAGACCATTAGGCCAACAGTGCAGCTCAGATTCACCTGGGAATATTCTCCAGAAGAGAGATGGATGTTAGGAAGTGGAAGGTTTCTCAGGTGCTGACAAGGGGCAACATGTGTGCAATTTTCCTTAGATGAGGTTTGGAGGCACAGGAGGCTCAGGTTCCTGGAAAAGCCTACTTCGTGGTTGCTTTGATTTACTTGCTGGATGAAGACATTCCCGTCTGAGTGTGGCAGCCTGTGCCTTTCTGCTAGTAAAATAAAGGAAGACACAATATGGTGATGATCTGTGTTCATGTTCTGAAAAGTGACAGATTTTCCTCAAGTAAATAAAGCAATGCCACACTGCAGGTCCTGCATTCTAGATTTTACCAAAGTAAAAGTAGTATTAGCAGCAAAATATAGTAAAATTATCAGAAGTAAAAGTAGTCATCGTGCAGGAGGGCCTCTTCCAGAGTGTACATCAAAGTTGAGCCAGTTTCCACTGCTAATCTGTCATCATACATACTGCTTTATGATTAGATCACGTTTTGAATGTAACATTTTAATCTGTAAAATAATTAAGAAAAAACAGAAACTGATTAATTGTGAAAGCATAAAAAGGAAATAATAAGATAGTACAACTACCTCAAAACTGTACGTACATGTCTAAAGTAGCTGCTCAGCAGCTTGCCTTCCAGAAGAGAACTCTGCTGCAAGAATCACCCTACTTTCTTAAATATTGCATCAAGATTGAATTTACTCAGTTCAAATGTAAACTAAAAGTATACAGCAGACGAGCAGAAGACAGGTTTCACAGCTGGTCTTCTCTGTAGTTCACAGCATGAAAAGCCAGACCTTCCTCTCATCTCATGTCTCCCCTCTATCTTGCACCCAAGGGTCTTGTCCCAGACAACATGACTGATAGCTACACAGCAAATGGAGCTGATTCAGAGACATGCTCCTAAATTAGCTAAAAGATAGTATTTCCACCACAGGAATGAGTTTATTGGACTTCAACAACTTACATGTGATGAAAAGGACAGTTCAGTGGTGGGAGTCCACGATTGATATACCATGAAGTCCCAGTAATTAATGGTGAGGCTTCCCTTGGGATAGAAGAGGGTTAAAGCTAGGGCAAAGGCAGCAATTAGGAAATGATGCAGGACCTGCAGGAGCACTCAGTGCCCCCTGAAGCCCCATCGGTCATATGCAGATAAAAGGGCTGAGTGCAAGGGTAATGGTTAACCAAAAGGACGCTGTCAGACTGTCCATAAACCATTTCCTCTTCCTTCAACAGAGCGGACAAGTGGGGTGGGGGTATCATTTCTGGGTACAGACCAAACTGCTTGTACATGGGTGACATGGTTTACCACAAATTTTAAAGAGGCCAAATATAAATCTTGATGCTTTTTTGCATCTATTGAGTTTGCTACAGTGTCATTCTTCTGAGAAAGCACACATAGTGAGGTGCATACTAATGCAGAGCTCAGTGCAAGTTCATCAAAAGAAAAACACTTCACAAAACTCTTCTCCAGTACACCATGCATTATTCATCTGTTAGCCATACATTTTTTTCAGCTAGGCTATATTTGGTGATGTGAATCAAGCATGGTAGATTGGGGAAGAGCTGTGCAATGTGTTTTAATTGTGATGGATTTCAGAGACTGTCCTCCTGTAAAATATGACGGTATATGTCGTTTGTGTCAGCAGGTTATTACAACACAATGTTACATGTCATAGTTTGGCGACATCTAGTGACTGCTATTAATTATGACATGAGGGGAGAAGTAAGTACCGGTATATAGAGGCAAAATGTCCATGTTGTTAATTTTGGTAGGATTGTTGTAATTCTTCCAGCATAAGAGCCCTAGTTAATGATTCACCCTTATGGGTCATATGAGAGGGAAGGGACAATGATAAGTTGGAGGACTTGTTGGGATTTTATTGCTATTCTGTCAGTGCATGTAAGATGTATTGTTAACTTAATGTTTTGTTTGCTACTAGCACTGACTGGGTAATCATTGGCTGAGTAGAGCTGAAGAGCATTCTGGTTTTCATTCAGTCATGGACCACACACTGAGCATGTCTGGCAGAAGAAAACCTACTGCTGCAAAATACCAGAGCAGAAGGAGGCTGTTAAAGAAATCAAAGAAGAAGAGCTTTCGCTGTGTGATCATGTTGAGCAGATTTATACTCCCATTTTTGTGATAAAGCTGATAAGACTGTGCAGACAGCCCTCCTTCGTTCCCTCCCTGCTGACTCAACAGTTGTTTCCTCAGAGAGCTACAGGTGTGAGCTGAGACAAGGAAACTGTTATCAGAAATGACAGCGAAAGGACACGAGCTATAGATTTTAGTGCAAATTCAATCAATAAACCAAACAGCTGCAAGGCTGAGGTTTTGTTGTTTAATTATTATACAGTAAAATGGCTCTCAAACGGTTTCTGGCTTAGCTAGTTGTTCTTTGAGACTTCTTTATAGTATGAAAGACAAATTTATTTACTGTATTCACTCTTTATTTATTGTACTTGTGGTTAAAAAGTGTCAATAAACTTAGCCCTCAGGTCGACTAATGCACAAGTAATTTTCTATAAAGTAAAACAGAAAGAACAAAACCATATACAGTATGTGGTCCAAATAGTCAAAAGGGACATTTTTAAATCCTCTCTGGTGAAGGCACATATGTAGTCCCTAACCTGTGTTGTTTTAAAAAATAAAAAAATAAAAAATTTTTGGCATACAATTCAGGAGATCACAAATGTGAGAAAAGACATGTGTTTGTCCAGTAAGCATGTCTCTGTTGCGCTGGTGTGTGAACTGGATCTGATATGAAGTAATCCTCCTGCTTCTCCCTTCCAGTGAGAACCCAGAACACACAACACCTTTGCAGCAAGCAAGAAAACAGACTTGTGAATCATTAATTGTCATTAATGAATAATTAATTCTATCTGATGATGCAGATGACTACTACCACTGCAACTAACTGAAGATGAGAAAGGTTTCTTGAAAGCGGATACTGAGGCTGAACCTGATCCTTTAGGAATGGAACAATTTATGACGAAAGGGCCTCTAAAAAGACTATTATACTATCATATGACTGTAAGACTTGACTGCCACACCTTGAAATGGAATGAGAATTGCTAATACTAAAATTGGTTATGAGCAACTTTAAGCACAGAAAAAAAAGGACCTCTCTGCAGCTGAAAAGCTACGACATGCTGCCACTAATAGTTTACTGAGTTTATTTATAATGGGGAACATCAGGCATGTCCATTTTAAAATCATGAATCCTACATAACAGAGATGTACCCTTATGTTTCTCAGAGTTATAACTGCCATACAGTACCTACTGCTTGTTTGTTGCTATGCAGTATGTGACAGTTTGTGTTTGAAGACGCTGATACCACACCGATTCAGGTCACTGTTTGTTTGAAATATTTTTAGAAACAGTAAAGCATTTGCCACTCTTGTAAAGTTTCTTTCAACTGAACAATCAAGAAAAACATGTCAACAATTAAAGCTTAAAAAATAAACCAAATGTTGACATTTTCTGTAAAGTGGCAGTTTATTCAGAGAACGTTGTCTTAAAGACGTAATGGGATACGTCCAACATGGAAGAGGGGGTTTGGACCTGACAACAGGTGGACAGTGGGCGAAAGGTCACAGCACAAGCACAATACGCAGGCAAGAGGAGGTTGATGGGAGTGCAAAAGTCATCTCTCTGGCTAAACAGGGGCGATGTATGGAATGGGAAGGTGTGGAGAAAAGAGCAGTTAAGTGGAGGGAATTGTGGGAAATGGAAGCAAATATCATTGGTTTCATCATTAAGGCTACAGACGACCTGCTTCCTTCACCAACATACCTCCAGCAATGATTTGGAGATGATTGGACTCATGCCCTCTGTCCATTACCGGCGCCTCCTAAGCACATCATGACAGGATGTAATAACAGCCTCACACAAGGCCATTACACTTGGCAGCACAATCAAGTCCTCAAGAATTTGGCATCAGCTTTCAAGCCCCCCTAGACAGCCAACCTAGTGAGAACATTTGTCCGAGAAGGGCAAGAAAATCTCAGCTATCAGTCCACAGAACCAGAAAGCGGGGGGGGCCTGAGTAAGGCCAGCAACTCTGGAAGTACTCAGATATCGGCACAAGGGAGGAATAACATCTCATCCTGTGTTCATTGACAGATTAATGAAAGTTAAGGCAAAGTGAAAGTATTCACTGTGTAAAGAGTTTTTACATAAACCTTATGAAAGGAAAACACCATCTTAATTAAAAACAAATATTAGAAGTTACTTCCTGCCCAACAAGAGGCTATTATACCCAGTAGGTCAATGTATTCTTCAGAGGATTCTCTGACTCATGATATAGTAAGATACTGTCAGTCTGCCTGCATTCTGCTAGTCCACACACAGATGAGTGAGTCTTTGGCGTCCCTGCTCAGTGTCGCTATCGCTGAGGTGGCTGAGTTGAAAATGATCCAGAATGCAATGCAACAGCCAAGCTGTGGCTGCTTAGAAACAACAAAAGCTCCCAGACCTTATCGTTGCTACTGGCAGGCAGTGGAAACACAGTTAACACAAACAATGGCCCTCACTGACCAGCAGCCAAGACAAAGTCAGCAACTCATGCCAGGACTCTTCCACTGAGCATGCTCAGAAAGCAGACTTCTGTCTGGCCCTTGTCCTGGCTCAATAAATCAAGCCAGGCCTTTGTGTTCATAATTGCTACACAATTTTTGTCATGCGTGATCTAATCTGACCACTCAGTCGAGATATCTGAGAAAAATGTTAATTTTCTATTACAATCCTGGATAATGGTTCAAGAATTGAATTATGGCTAGTTTGCATTTTGTAACAACACAAAAGGAGGGGATAAGACAGAGCACAGAATAGGTGCAGTGACATCCAATAACTAGATATGCAAATATCTGAACTAGGAATTTTAATGACATTCTTATGTTGATGCAGTGTATCAACTTACCTCCAGTCCAATGACACATGCCCTTCACCTAATTCTCCAATGCCACACACATGCACACAAGGCTGCCACTTCGGGAGCATGCTGCAACTGTGGCTCCTCTCCAAAGATCTGACCAAGAGAAGGGCAGAGGCCTCAGGGGATTATACCTGTGTTTCTGTTTTGTCTTCTTTCAGATTTATGAATAAAAGATTAAAGGACGAGGTCAGTCGCTTCTAATCAGTTCTATATTAACAGTATTTTCAACAGTCCACTGACAGAGACTAAGACCAACATTTTGCCTCTACTCACAATTAATGTCTGTCAGTCCTGGATTAGTTTATTCGTCTGTGCCATAGTGAAAGCAAATCAGTGAAACACAGCACTGAACCAGGTGATATGTTTCCTCATTATAAAACACAAGACCCTAATATTATTTAAATTTTGCCTCAAAGGCTCCGAACGCCATGACTTTTTACAACATCTGGAGTAAGCGGGAGTGGAAAGCCCATGCATGAGGACTTTTCATATTCTTAACAAATATGAGGGTCTTGTGTTTTGTAATGAGTAAATATACTGTATCACTCAGTGTGTGTTTACTTGATGTGTTTTTAATTGTTTCTGAACATCTGTGGAGGTCTACGGCACAGACAAATAAGCTAATCTAGACAGAACGACGGACATAAATCGTGAGTAGAGGCAAATCATTGCTGGTTTTACTCTCAGTATGTAGAGTTTTTGAAAATACTGCTAATAGAGAAAATGACCAGCCTTAGCCTTTAAGAATGACTGGCAGACAAAGTGACGACACGTACAGAAATACTTAATGTACTACACATAATACTAATATAAGAGTTATTATTATCATAGTGTATTTGGACTAATAAACATACAAATGAGAACATCAGATGGATAATGCTGTGTACACTCTTTTCACCCCATGTGTTTCCTAATTGGTTGCCAGTTTTTTTTTTTGTTTTTTTTTTTAGTGAGATGAATCAAATCATTAACCGAGTGCTTCTTTCACATAAGATTATTTCAGCTGAGGTAATCAAAAAGCTGCAGGAGTGAGCACCAGCCCAGCTGCAGGAGATGTCAGAGCACAAAGGCTTCCCAGACTAAAGTCAGGCATTTTTCAGAGCTCATGCTGCAGCTGCAGAAAGCTCAGGAGGATCTGCACAACACTGCTAAACTTGAGTCCAGCAGGCAGAAAACAAGGCTGCTGAACATCATAACAAGAGAAGGCGCTTTTAAGAGTAAAGTTGTAGCAGAAACAAACTGTAACAATAGAAAAATATCAGCTTATTCCATGCAATGTAGATAATAAATCAAAATCCCAGCTTTCTCCAGAGGTTTAATAACAGCAGGAAAGGGAAAGAAGGCCCCTTTAACATACAGATGGTGCAAAACACATAAGGGTAAACAACAGCGTGACTATCCCTCCAGCTGCAGCTACAAAACACAACTCACTGATACAAAACACTGATAGCCACAGCTGCTTTAACAAACTTATAGCAAAATACATAAATGAAGACAGTTATCTACAAATGTTTTCTTTTTTTAACCTCAACTGTGGCTTGCATTCTGTCATTTGTAAGCAGAATATCTCAAAAACAAGTCAGTTGCACAATAAAATAAAACTTTTAAAAGCATATATCACTTAAACAGTTTTAAACATCTATTCACTCATCCTCTTTGTATTTACTCATCCCTCTATCAGTTTATGCATCCATTCTGATATCAATCACTTGCATGCAGTCCTGAGTTTTAGGATCAGCACAGTGCCACCAAACAATAGCACAGCAAACGTGTACTTTCCTTATGAAGCTGCAGTCTGGGGTAGGACCACATCACACACTGTTAGTCTTCCTGAAAGCCACATGAACCCACAGTGCCTAGGGCTAAACTGGCGCCATCCACTTCCTGGGCACAGACAGGCATCAGCACACCAGCTCTATTTATAACTGCATATTAGAAGAAGGGAGTGTTTTCAAATGAGGCTGAAAGAAGACAGCAGGAGGAAAAAGGCCATTGTTTGGGAGGCCTTACCAATTAGTAAATTATGTTGTTGTTATGTGTACCATGAAGAAAACTTTAGACTGCAAAGTTATGTTTGAGAATTTTGTGGAAGAATATACAGTATCACCCAGTGTGTGTTCCGCGTCACAACCTAAAGATACACCCTTAACAGGAAACAGTAAATTACAACAAACACTGATCACCAATATCCATCAAGAAAAGGGTGCACTGTCCCTTTAAGAGACAAGACCATCATGTCCTTCCTGTATGCTAGCGTTAGCGTCGGCTAAATAAATAAATACTGAAGTAAATGGTTTCAAAACATACACGTATACGTGTTAATGAGTCTATAAATAGAAAGTGACAGTGTGG